ATAATCTTTGTCTGTCTGTCTGTCTCTCGATCGATTCAGTATTCAACAATAACGGTAAGCCTGGGCTACCTGTGTTTTAATCGGCCGTGCTATCACGTGAACTATGGTACGTGATCATGTGCAATGTGACATATATCGCTGATCCATAGTTCAGTGGAATGAAACAAAATGGCAGTCATTCGATTACATATTTGGATTTAAAAAAAATTAAAATAATGGTTAAGCTTTCTTCCGATTTCTACGAATTTGACAGAACTAAATTTCAAGATGCCTGAACACGTTAAACACATTGAATGGCATGATCTCGACAAACGGAAGTTTTACTTTTTTGGACCTACTTTGTTTCTTGGTATTCGGACAGTTTTGTATCCAGCAAATTTAGTRAAAACTCGACTTCAAGTTCAGCGAAATAATGCACTTTATAATGGCTCTATGGACGCGTTTGTTAAAGTAGCCCGTACTGAAGGAATTCGAGGTCTTTATAAAGGGTTTATGGTGAGCTGTTTCGGTCTTTTCGCAGGACAATGTTACATAACGACATATGAACTAGTTCGAGCAAGAACTTCGGAATACAGCACCGTCATTCGAGGATTTTTAGCCGGTGGTTGTGCTTCTGTTATCGGCCAGACAATAACTGTACCCGTCGATGTAGTGTCTCAAAAACTCATGATCCAAGGACAAGGAAATCATTCTGTAAAACTGAAAAATTCCAAGACAATTGTGAAAGAAATTATTTTAAGTCGTGGCCCTATTGGCTTGTACAAGGGGTACTTAGCTTCTCTTATGACATATGCTCCCACCAGTGCCATATGGTGGGCTTCCTATGGTGTTTATACTGGGCTTATAGGCAGTATAGTGCCAGCTGGTACATATCATATACTTGTTTTAGCCCCGTCRGGGGTAATGGCTGGTGTCACTGCCGCCTGCATGACAAATCCTTTGGATATTGTTCGAACAAGATTACAGGTAAAGACACCTTATGTTGTGGGTTGGTTGAGTCCTCAAACTCCATATAATGGATATATTATGGGATTGGAATCGTTTGTAAAACAACATTTAAATCTTATTAATACCCTAAAATAACCTCTGGACTGATGTAAATCAGGGCACTGCTAACTCACAGATAGAACCCTAAAACAACCTCTGGGCTGATCTAAGTCAGGGCAAGGCTAACTCACAGATAGAATCCTGAAACAACCTCTGGGCTTATCTAAGTCAGAGCATGGCTAACTCACAGATCAAACCCTCAAACAACCTCTGGGCTGATCTAAGTCAGGGCATGGCTAACTCACAAATCAAACCCTGAAACAACCTCTGGGCTGATCTAAGTCAGGGCAAGGCTAACTCGCAGATCAAACCCTGAAACAACCTCTGGGCTGATCTAATTCAGGGCAAGGCTAACTCACAGATTGAACCCTAAAACAACCTCTGGGCTGATGTAAGTCAGGGCACGGCTAACTTACAGATCAAACCCTTAAACAACCTCTGGACTGATCTAAGTCAGGGCATGGCTAATTTACAGATTGAACCCTGAAACAATGCTTATTTTCCATTTTCTTTACCAGGTTGAAGGAGGGAACTCCATGCTACTAACATTCAAATCATTGATTCAAGAAGAAGGGTTAGCAGCCTTGGCTAAAGGACTGTCAGCAAGAGTCTTATCCATGGCACCATCAAGCTTTATGGTAGTTTTAGCTTATGAAACAGTTAAGAGGTTAAGTCTGAAGGAAGAAGAAAAGAATGCCTTAGTGGAAGAGGAGCTATATTTAGAATGCACTTGTTAATTTTTACTCGGGAGGAGACAGAAAGTTGGTTATGAACTACCTTGGGGGAAGGAAGAGAGAAGGAATGAAAGAAATTAAAGAAAAGAGTAAAACAAAGAAAATTTTAAAACAGTCTCCTTGACCTTGGGCATAAT